AATTGATCATCAAGTTAAATGCCAAACTTCAGTCAGTTTGACTTTGCTATAATCCTAAAATGTTTTTTATGTTTCTTTACTGTTAACACGGAAAGCACTAAAATTGATTAGACTTGTAATAAAAGTTAGCATAGGAATAAAAAAAAATTTAACAATTAACCTACAGGTATCTTTCACTTATGAATCCACATATCTCTGAAAAGCTACAGGTACAAAACATGTAGAGTTAAATTATATATATATACGTGTGTGTGTGTGTGTGTGTGTGTGTGTGTACATAGAAATACACATGGTGACATTTCATTCTTGAATAGAAAAAAAAAGCATAGATAAGGCCGGGCACGGTGGCTCACGCCTGTAATCCTAGCACTTTGGGAAGCCGAGGCGGGTGGATCACGAGGTCAAGAGATTGAGACCATCCTGGCCAACATGGTGAAACCCCGTCTCTATTAAAGAAAAAAGATTGAATTTATTTTAATTTCAAAAAAGAAAAAAAAAAATATATATATATATATAATACCACATATGCAAAATATATACATCCAAAAATAATTACGTGTTTTCCACACACAAAAAAGTGAATTTTAAAAGGCCTAAAAATGTGAAAGGAAAGTGAACTGAGATATATCATTCTATGATATATCTTTTATATTTTATAAAGAGAATATAATCATGTGTTATCTGTGTACCTAATAATAGAGAAAAAAGTTTTGTTTTGTTTTGTTTTGTTTTTTTGAAACAGCCCAGGCTGGAGTACAGTGCTGTGACCTTGGTTCACTGCAACCTCCGCCTCCCAGGTATAAGTGATTCTCCTGCCTCAGCCTCCCAAGTAGCTGGGGTTACAGGTAAGCACCAGTATAACCACTAACTTTTTTGTGTTTTTAATAGAAATGGGGTTAGCCAGGCTGGTCTCGAACTCCTGACCTCAAGTGATCCACTTGCCTCAGCCTCTCAAAGTGCTGGGATATGGATGTGAGCCACCGCACCCAGCAAAAACTTTGTAAATTAAATCTTTTTTTCTTTACTTAGTGTATAATCCTACAGATGTCTTTCCATTAAACAAATGTTTGGCTTAATAACATAGTTATATTTAAAAATATGGCAACTCTGCAGGGCACAGTGATGTGCGCCTGTAGTGCCCTGTACTCTGGAGGCTAAGACAGGAGAATTGCTTGAGCCCAGGAGTTTGGGGCCAGCCTGGGCAACATAGCAAGCCCCATCTCCTAGAGATTCTGAAGACTAGCTTTATAAAGTTATTAGCCAATGAAATAATACTACTCTCATCTCCTAATAAATGTCTGTTTTGCCATTCAAAAGGCAAGTGAGGCATCATTTCTCTTAGTAGTTTCTTACACCGAAATTACTAGCTACCTCTTCATTTCCTAAAGCCATAACAGCTTAAGACCCTATCCCAAAACAGGACAGAAGTGTCCTAACACTCCTCATGGCTTTACTGATATTATCTTCACTTTCGGTTTCTGATTCCAAACATGTAACACCTATCTGAAAGCATACATGGTAAAGAATCTCAGATACAATTTTATAATGTTTCAGAGAATTCAAAAATCAGGGCTGTGAAAAAAATGTTTCTAATTTAGAACAGAGATACAAAATTGTAAATTTACCATTACTATCAAGAGAAAATCATACCCACTTTGAAAAATGATAATTGCAGGGAAGAGGACGGCAAAGTTAGACAAATAGGCAGTAGAGGACACACACTGAAGCAGAAAGCAAGAAGTAAAAACATGTTTCATCACATGGTAAAAGTGATACATATGTGGTTTTTTTTTTTTTTTTTTTTTTTTTTTGAGACAGAGTTTTGCTTTTGTCACCCAGGCTGGATTGGCACAATCTTGGCTCAGTGCAACCTCCAACTCCCAGGTTCAAGGGTTTCTTCTGCCTCGCCCTTCTGAGCAGCTAGGATTATAGGCACCTGCCACCACACCCAGTTAATTTTTGTATTTTTAGTAGAGACCAGGTTTCAACCATGTTGGCCAGGCTGGTCTCAAACTCCTGACCTCAGGTGATCCACCTGCCTCGGCCTCCCAAAGTGATTGCAGGTGTGAGCCACTGTGCCCGGCCAATACATATTTTGAAGGTAGAAAAGGGTCAGAAGAACAATAACTTGACTATACATAATACCTCCCAGAGAACTAACCTAACCACAAAAAGGGCACTAAAATATACACTAATAACTGTGACATAGCTAGAAAGCTCAAAAAGTAAAGTAAGTGGCTCAGGGAAACAATCTGTTAAAGGATCAGAGAAGGGCCACAGAGGCAGAAACTACATTTCAGCTCTACTTCTTCTTCCCATATAAAAAAGAGCTGTTCTTTTCCCGAGCACTCATCAAGTTTTTATGTCATAAATATAAAGGAGAATGTGAGGTCTTGGCTTTCTAAAATGAAAACAGCAGATTAAAGGTACACAGTATATCAGCAAAGATAATTATCCAACTAGTAATTTCTTCAGAGACTTATGGTAAGAAAATATCATAGAATGTTAGTTTATATAAAGATATAAAAATGTATGTGCATGCATATTTAAACTATCATAAAAAATCAAGAATACCTACAGAAACCTTCAGTAGCAAGACCACCGTTTTGCCTCTAGAGGGCAAACTTGGTCTTCTGAAAAACTCTAGACAAGAGAAGTTACTTTCAAGACTTTATCCCTCTCCCCCTCAAAAAAAAAAGGAGTTAATAGCAGAGGTTTCCAATCTTTCTTGGTCAATGTCTTTAGTGTCTCAGTAATTTTTTCACAGTAACTCCTAAGCCAAAAGAAATACCTAATTATTCTGTTTAATAAGTAGCTATGTCTAAACAATTTAATAAGGATATATATCCTAACAGTAACCACTAAAAAAAAAACCACATAAATTGAAAAAAAATACGTGTGTGTGTGTGTGTGTGTGTGTGTGATGGAGTCTCGCTCTGTCACGCAGGCTGAAGTGCAGTGGTGTGATCTTGGCTCACTGCAACCTCCACCTTCTGGGTTCAAGCAATTCTCCTGTCTTACCCTCCCAAGTAGCTGGGATTACAGGCATGCACCACCATGCCTGGCTACTTATTTGTATTTTTGGTAGAGATGGGGTTTCACCATGTTGGCCAGGCTGGTCCTGAACTTCTAACCTCAAATGATCCACCTGCTTCAGCCTCCCAAAGTTCTGGGATTACAGGCATGAGCCACTACGCCCAGCCTCATTCTTAATCACAACTGATTACCAACATGGGCATGTGTGGCTTTGTGTACTATATACAATTTCTCAAACCTTAAAATCAGATTAGGTATCACCCTCATTTCCAGTCCCACAATGACTTTTGTACAGTAGCTGGTTTTCATCACAGCAATTTTGGAAAAAACAGATTCACAAAGATATGATGCCACAGAAAAGTATGTAGTAGTATTTAATGTTGGAACTGTGTACTGCTTCAAATTAACAGTCTAAGCCATATCCAACTGATGTGGAATATCACTGAGTTTGCCTCAAAAAATTTAAATATCCCACAGTACCCCAGTGTGTTAAGTGCAGAACACCAGAGTGTCTGAGCACATGGCTTGGGGATCACAGCATACAGTTTTACGTACCAATAGATAAACTATCCACTATTTTAATCACTTGTAAAGAAAATTAATTACAAGCCAGGTGTGGTACCAGCTTCTCAGGAATCTAAGGCAGGAGGATCACTTAAGCCCAGGAGTTTGAGGGCAGCCTGGGCAACATGGCAAGACCCAGTCTCTTGAAAAAAGAAATTAAGTTGGTTTACAGGGAGAGGAGGAGGATGGTCTAAGTGCTGACTAGCTAGAAAATTCAGGCAAATCCCTCAAAAGGGAAAGGGAGGGGCTGCTTAGAAAGACCGCCTTTTGTTTGTTTGTCTTTTGCTTCTCTCAGGGAGAAATATGCAGTCCTCTAGGGTTGTCCATGTACATTCTGTGGGGATAAACACCATGGTTCTGGTTAAACAGCTAGTGATTTTGACAGCTGTGTCAAGAAGGGTTAGGATCAACTACAAAATAATATGGGTTGTAAAATGTAGTGTGTTTCCCTAACTTCCTGTTTTACCTGAGGAAAAAATAAATTCAATGCAAAAAGAAGAAAAAAGAATTAAATACAGTAATGCTTTTAAAGCTCTAAAATTATTTCTTCATATTACCTGGAAAACCAGTTTTTCTTCTGAGCAATAAAAGGAAGACTATTAAATCCGTAAAGGAAGATATCTTTTCCAATTTGAATGACGGTTACTGCCTTCATATGATTGTTTTTATAAATGCTAGCTGTGTTAAATCTGGTAAACTACAATTGGAAAGGAGAAAAATAGGAAATGTATTACATATCTTCTTCTGAGCAATAACTTTTCTGAACTTTAAAACACTGCAGATTGATCCAGTCTCACTGCTTTCTATTATCACTAATCTAGTACTGAAGAGCCAAAGTTCATAAGTCAAGATCAGAAACTCTTAAGAACTCAAGAATACAGATATTAATAGAAGTATCAGAAGAAATAGCTTCTAAATTACTAGAAACAGACTGTGTACCAACTCAACTCATTTACAAAGTCCTTGGTTTAGAGAGGACACCAGAAAAGTGACAAAGGAAAGAGTTCAACCTCATAATCTACTCAGTTTTTGCTTTTTACTATTTCATCAGTTCACAACTACCAATACTCAGTCACACATCTGTGCCACTGACAAATGCTACCAACTTCAACTGGAGTCAAACAGTATGTGGTAAGAGTGATTCGCTAAGTTTTAAAAAAAATCTATTCAAGGAATAACTGGTTAAAAAAAATCAATATTCCTTTAAAGAATTTTCATAACTATAAAAGATAATGGAAAATATGTGATCTGTTTTTCTACAAAATTTAGCAGGTCCCTATAAATACCTATAATCCCAAAAGTCTATATCTAGAAAAATAATAAAAATAAAATATGGTTAGTTATTTTTTAAAAAATGCTTGAAAAGCTAGTGCAAACTACATGGCTATGTCAGTACTTACCTGCTGAATGATTCTGGATGTTTTCTGAAGATTCTCTCTAGGAGGGACTTTACCAAATAATTTCCAACCAGGAGCACTATGGACAACTGATTTGAGTTCCTTTGTCCTTTTTGGAAAAAGGTTTCTGAAACACAGAAAAGTTACATGAATTGTGTTTTTTGTAACCAGAGAGCTATTTAACAGTAATTTTATACTAAGTTTGCTCCCAAGGCAAAAACAAAAATATTTTTAAATAAAGCTATTTCTACTATTTATACCACTATTACTTAGAATAACAAAGCTCAATTAAGAATATCTGGCTTAATACCTAATACAAGTAGGGCTTAAAACCTAGATGATGGGTTGATAGGTACAGTAAACCACCATGGCACACATATATACCTATGTAACAAGCCTGCACATTCTGCCTATGTGTCCCATAACTTAAGTAAAATAAAATAAAGAGTATCTGGCTTATATAGAGGTATTAGAAGAATCATCAACAGAAATAATAAAAAGATAAATTTGAAGAAAAATGATAGCCATAAATAAGATACAAACATTTGTTTAACTCAGCTACAAAGTATACTAGAATTGACTGTACATGTACTTAAAATTAATAGCCAAAATTCTAAGAACAAAAACATTTAAAAGAAACTATATAAAAGTTAAAGAATTAAGTAATATAATATTTGGATAAATATTTACAGTAATAATTTATAATAAAATTATATCTATTAACCCTCCATTGCTATGACACATATATGTAAACTGTTTTTCCTAGGCCAGCTATGTATAAGAAAGCTTATTACAAAACAGTCAATATATAACCAAGGAAGAAAGTATCTCTCACTGAAAAAATCTAAAAAAAAAAAAAAAACTTGCACAAGTATTAAGGATTTTATCTATTATCTCCATGCCCTAACCAACCCAATTAAGTATCTATATTTTTATGTAAGCAGGGATGATACTCAAAATACGTACCCTCCAAAACAACATGACCAAGCGGCCCATGAACTAATTAGAAATAGGCACTGATGAAGTCAACTCAGTATAAACCCTTTGCATAAGCTATAAATGAACATAAAGAAAATTTTAAATTCACACATACAATTAGTTACAAACAGTTTCAAATAGGTTGAAGTCCCAAATAATTAGATTTGTCTGTACTCAAAATGCCATATCAATATATCTTAAAAGTACAGAACAGTGATAACAGAAAATAAGTTTTTAATGAAAAATGTTGAGGGACTCCTACAAAAGAATGCAAGCTAATCAATAATAAAGAAAAGAAATGGCCAGGCATAGTGGCTCATGCCTGTAATCCCAACACTGGGAGGTCAAAGCAAGAGGATCACTTGAGCCCAGAGTTTCAGACCAGCCTGGGCAAAGTAGTGAGACCCTGTCTCTACAAAAAATAAAAAATAGCCAGGCATGGTGGTGCACACCTTGTAGTGCCAGCTACTTGGGAGGCTGAGGTGGGACAATCACTTGGGCCCAGGAGTTAAGGGTGCAGTGAGCTATGATATTGCCACTGTACTATAGCCTGAGCAACAGAGCAAGACCCTTCCTCCAAAAAAAGGAAGGAAAAGAAACTCTTATTTCCTCAGGTGTATAATGGAGATAAACACATGACACTTAGAATAATTGCTACTTTAAGACACTCTGGAGGTTTCACCTCAAGAGACCATGTACACTGGCTTAATTCTCTACTTTATAAAATCACTAAACAGCTGAAAGTTTTCAATAGTGAATATGCCAAGGACTAGGAATACTTCTAAGAAAAATTTTCAAGCTTCAAATGATGGTCTATTAATATAAACAATGTTTGGTAAGTTGTGCACTACTTATCAAGAAAACACTTTGTAGCTGATTTAAACAAATGTTTACATCTTATTTATGGCTATCATTTTCCTTCCAGTTTGTTTATCTTTTTTATTATTTCTGTTGATGATTCTTCTAATACCTCTTTGCTCCAAATTTGCCTTTATGCTCTGGGATAATAGACAAAATTCCTTTAATCATTTCTCCTTTAAAACAAATATGAAATTGTTAAGCTTTCTGAGTAGAGGACACCAAAAGGAGACAAGGAAAAAGGGGCTCTCCTGTGGTTTCCAGGGGCTGCACAGTGGATCAGGGGTAGAAGTGTGAGGACATCCAGTAAAGCTCTGCTTAGCCAGATGCCCAGACTGCAGCCCCTCAGCAAACTTGCAGCCTTTTGGTGAATCTGCAGCCTCAACCTGGAGATGGTGTTCCTGAAGCCTGCTCAACATAAAAATGACTCCACCAAAGGCTTCCTGCCAGCACCAGTGTGCCAATTTCCTCTGCAAGCCCCACACAGGCCAGACAGTTCTCACCAAGTCATACTTTCTCTACAATCTCTATGTGACCTGTCTTAGCCCTAAAGGTTTCCTATCTACCCACACTAATAAACACAGGAGAAAATCTTTGTCACCATGGCTTATGCAAAGAATTATTGGATATGGCACCAAAAGCATGATAAAAGAAAAAGTTTATAAAAGTTTCTTTTCTTTTATAAAAGAAAAGTTTATAAAGTCTCTTTATAAAAGAAAAAGTTGACAAACTGGGCTTAATAAAATTTAAAACATTTGAACCTCAAAAGACATCATGGATACAAAATGATAGGATGGAAAGATCTAGGGGTCAGTCTCCCCACCAAAGTGAAAGTTGAGCTAGAAGGAGTAACTGGAGCTGGGTACGGGTGGCTCATGTCTGTAATTCTGGACTTTGGGAGACCAAGGCGGGTGGATGACCTGAGGTCAGGAGTTCGAGACCAGCCTGATCAACATGGCAAAATCCTGTTTCTACTAAAAATACAAAAATTAGCTGGGAGTGGTGGCATTACACACCTGTAATGCTAGCTATTCAGGAGGCTGAGGCAGGAGAATTGCTTGAACCCAGGAGGCAGAGGCTCAAGCCGAGTGAGCTGAGATTGCACCACTGCACTCCAGCCTGGGAGACAGAGCAAGACTCCGTCTCAAAAAAAAGTAAGAGTTTTTTAAAAAGTAAAAGAAACTGAAATCAAGTACTTTAGTAGAACTCTGGGATCTGATCAAACCCTTTTAACAACCAAGGGAGTATTTGATGAAAAAAGAGGCTACTGATCCTTCATAAGTATTAATAAGCAGCATGCATAAACCAATTATCCTCCCCCATTCCTCAGAACCACCATCACCACTACCCAACACCTCTTGTGGCAGTGGGAATAGCAGCCTATGTTCTTGGAGTTGCTAGTTGGTGCCAGGAGTGACAGTGAGGATCACGTCCTTCAAAATTTAGAGTTGTACATTTTGGTTGGTCTGGAGTGCCCTAAGGGACAGATGCAGGCACATGCATGTTTCAGTACTCTCCCCAGCAGTAGCTTTCACTGTCAGTATTTATCTGAAACTAAAGAAGGTAAAACCTTTTTTGTCTCCTTTTTTGGAGCCAGGTATCTAAGGAAATCTTTGTCAGGTCACCAGCTAACCAGAGAGACAACAGAACAAAAACTTGTGACTATACCCAATATGGAATACATACTCTGTGAAAATAGCTTGTAAAGCCACAAATAGGTGGCTTTAGCCCTCAACAAGCAAAAAAAGCAATCACTGAGGAATGGGAGAAACAGATTTATAGAGTTATCATACTATAATATTCAGAGTATCCAGTTCTCAGCAACAACAACAAAATTACAAAACATGACACATAGAAATGGGAAAGTATAGCCCATTCCCTAGAAAAAGGAATTTGACAAAAATCATCCCTGAGGAAGCCCAAACAATGTAATTATTAGTCAAACACATTAAATCAACTTCATTTAAAAAAAAAGCTCTAGGAGACTGAAAATAAAAAAAACATGGACAAATAACTAAGAGGGAAAATGAATAAACAAAATGAGAATATCAGTAAAGACAGAAAGTATAATAAGCAACCAAATAAATTCTGGAGCTGAAAAACAACTAAAATAAGAAATTCGCCAGATGCATTCAACAGCAGATTTAAGCAGAAGAAAGGACTGGCAAATGTGAAGATAAGAAAATTGAAATTGTCCACTCTCAGTAGTAGAAAGAAAAATGAAGATAAAGGAACAGGGCCTGAGGGGCCTGTAAGACATTACTAAGTGTACCCATCTATGTACCATAGAAGACCTAGAAGGAGAAAAAGACAGAGGCAGAAAAAGCATTTGAAGAAATAATCAAAAACTTCTCAAATCTGAGGAAAGACATAATCTACACATCCAAAAAGCTCAACAAACTTTAAGCAGGATAAACTCAAGGAGATTCACACTGATACATTATAGTCAAACAGGTGAAACTCAAAAACAAAGAGAGAATTTTGAAAACAGTAAATGAGAGGTACCATCAAAACAAGGGATCCTCAATAAGATTAACAGCTTATTTCTCTTCAGAAACCATGGGGGCCAGAAGTAAGATTACATATTTAAAGGTCAAAAAGGAAAAAAAAAATCCACCAAAAATTCCATATCTAGCAAAACTATCTTTCAAGAATGAAGGAGGGGCCAGGTACAGTGGCTCACACCTGTTTAATCCCAGCACTTTGAGAGGATGACGTGGGCAGATTGCTTGAGGCCAGAAGTTCCAAACCAGCCTGGGCAACATGGCAAAACCCCATCTCTACTAAAAAAATACAAAAATTAGTTGGGTGTGGTGGCACACGCCTGTTATCCCAGCTTCTTGGGAAGCTGAGGCATAAGAATTGCTTAAGCCCAGGAGGGAAAGGTGGCAGTGACCCCAGATCACACCACTGCAGTCCAGCCTGGGTGACAGAGCAAGACTATGTCTCAAGAAAAAAAAAAAAAAAAAAAAAAAGGAGAAATGAAGACACTTCCAAATAAACAAAAGCTGAGGGAACTCACTACCAGTCAGTAGACCTGCCCTACAAGAAATGGTAAAGGGAGTACTTCAGGCTGAAATTAGAGATTAGACAGTAACTCAAAGCCATGAGAAGAAATAAAGAACACTGGTAAGATTAACTATATAGGTAATTTATATAGGTAAATATAAAAGCCAGTATTATTGTAGTTTTTGTTAGTAACTCCTGATTTTTCCCACATTATTTAAAAGGCTAATATGCAAACAATATTTTAAAATTTCTGTTAATGGGCACACAATCTACAAAAATGAA